CTTTCAACTTTCAAGGGTGTGGGTGCCGGGGAAGGGAGATACGCTTGTCTACACACACATATGTACCCTTAATGTGGGTGCCGGGGAAGCAGTAGTGTCAGAGCAATAACGTCAAACCTGAAAGTTGAAAGTTGAAACTTGAAAGGGAGTTCTGGAATTTCGCCAATAAGACTTTCGCCAATAGGACTTTCGCCAATATGGCCTCTGGAACTTCGCCAATTGACGAAAGTACAGTGATCTTTCAACAATGTCATTGTAAAATAGACGTAGACTAAAAAACGTTTTCTCACCTACCTCGGTAAGTGTAAACTATGATATATATATATATTCTAGTAACATTAACTTCAGTGCTGACATATACCCTTTCGTAATATCGTTGTGTAATTATTGAGATACCCCATCTCTGGAACTTCGCCAATTGGCGAACGTCCACTATACTTTCGCCAACACATTCGGTGGAACTTCGCCATTGGCGAATGTCTTATTGGCGAACATACCGCCATCCTCACAATCGAGTGCGGAAACTGTTCATGCAGCAATGCTGTCTAACTCACAGGGAAGGCGAACCGAGAAATTAGTTCATCATAGGACGCAGCGAACGATGCTGGTGAGCGCTGAAACAATTATCGGCTTGCTAAATCGTAGTCATCCATGGAAATAGCCACATAAACGAAATACTAAATTTACAGCGGGTGACAGGTAAATAGGTAAAAACAGGCGCACTGTCAACCACGTGGAAAAGGCAAATCATTCTATATTGTCGCGTCGCTGCGACGGACAAGCATGAAAACACGCACACTTACTTAGAGGCAAGTTGAATGCATGCACACCAACCCATGCACCCACACCCTCCACATTAGGTATGCTGTATACGTGCGTAGACGAAGTATTCCGACTTTCGTGGTACCCACACTTGCGATGGGTGTGGCAGTGGGTGAATGCGTTAAGGGCCCTCCCCCTCAGAAAAGTCCGATTTAGTGCTTTTTTATACCTACTTNAACTTTTTATCAGACGGATTTTCGATATTGGATTCCTGAACTGAGAAAAGTCCGATTTAGTGCTTTTTTTATACCTACTTTGGCAGTCATACCGAGTAAAATGCTTATAAAAAATGAAGAGAAGGGATTTTCAAAATTCTGTCTGATAAAAAGTTGCGTATGCAGACTAGCTTTAATTTAAAACTAACCCGACCTCGATAGCTCTCATAGTCATGAAGTTATAACAATTCTCGTGGAAGCCACAAATCAAGTCGTAAGTCCAGTTTAGTAAGGTATAAATGGCTGACATTTTTACCACAAGCGTTTCTCACTGCCACCATGTATCCCTGAAAGTTTCAGCTCAAACCTATGCTCAAAAATGGCAAGTCGATTCTGAGGGGGGGAGGGGCTTAATGTGTTTTCATGTTTCTCTACCATGGTCGCGCACCAACATTGAGTGATATGCCTGTTTGGCGTGGTTATCTGTCTGTCTGTTTTACCTTTTTGTGTCTGATTCAGTATTTATCTAGTGTTTTGCCTATATGGCTCTATCCACGAAAGACTACGATTTAGTGTGCCTACCTGTGGTTCGGCGCTCACCCTCTCGCTTCGCTCCATCATGTGATGAACTTCATTTCTGGTTCCGCCGTCGCGGTGAGTTCTACAGCAATACCATATGCACAGTTTCCACACTCGATTGTGACGCACGGACGGGAGTTGGTCATAGCTTTCAAATCAGGAGAGTGATTTTTCTCAGTAGTTGCCGGAAGATGTAGCGTCTGTACGTGAGACATGGGATCTCGCTATGGAGACATATCTCCAGGTGGGGTCTAGGCTAAAAGTCGAAAAATATTTTTTCATCAGGAGATGCGGCATCTCTCTGTGGAGAAGTACGAGAGATGCGGAGTCTCTGCGGCAGATATAGATTGCGCCTGATGGATTTCTTATAGCTATGATATTTATATTTGCTGGAAGTATTGCTGCTGTGTATCCCGCATCTCCTGTGGCATCTCTGGCATGCCCGATTTGTTGGATAAGTGACACTGCTGTCTGAAGAAGACGAAGTTGTTCACACAATGACATTCAAATGCTTGCAGCCACGAAAAGTAAACGAAAGTTGGAAAAAAGGGTGTGGGTGCATGATCTTCTATTTCTTCATACCCACATAGACACCCACACCCGAGCAGTCATCCTATTCCACAATGTTGAACATTTCGGGACCAGTCCCCCCCCGGAATCAGTTCCGCCGATTCCGGAATTGGTTCGTTCAATTCCGGAACTGGTCCCTCCGATTCCAAAATTAGTTTGTCCGATTCCAGAATTGGTTCGTTCGATTCCGGAATTCCACGGAATTCAGTCCAATTCCGGAATTAGGTGAAAGCGCAGCCACTGGCAATTCCTGGTAATTCCGGAATTACAACTTGTGTCACTATTCTATCTTGTCTTACCCATTTCGTGATGATCCGATTCCGGTCCGAAATTCCGAAATTAGGCCAATACGGAATCGCTGGGAATTAGACGGAATTCCTAGGCATTCTGTGTAATTCCGGTCAATTTCTGTTCGGTCCAGTTCCCGGAATTCCGTACCGGAATTGCATGGTGTGGGTGTAAATATGGGTGTTGCGATAAGTGTGGGCGTCAGTGTGGATGTTGCCATAATTGTGGGTGTCAATGTGGGTGTTGCCATAAGTGTGGGTGTAACTGTTAGTGTGGTTGCACTGAATTCCGGAACCGTTAGGAATTAGGCGGAAGCCGTAGGAATTCCGTGTAATTCCGGAATTGAATCGGAAGGGATAAACGGAATTCCGGGAATTAGATGAAATTGGTTCCGTGAGCGGAACTGGTGCCGGAATATTCAACATTGCGGAATTGGATGTATTCTCCCACACCCACCCTCGCTATAAAAGCTTATCGATTGATATTCGCATTTATATGTATCATTCTCTTTTTAACTTAATCCAATTCATTTTATTGGTATCTCAATCAAGACCTTTTATTCTTAATTAGTTAATTCTATGATTCTTATTAGTATTTGTATCCATCTGGTTAATTTAACAAGAAAAAAAGAGAATAATTATGCCAGAAATTCGACACATTACTTTCATTCGAAAAGATGAATAATCCTTCTCGTGATTATCGAAGAAATCACGTAATACATGCAAATTACGATGCGCGAAAATCTCGTGCCACGAGTAACCATCATGATTCAGAAGCAAGTGCGACTCATCGAAAGGTTACCTTTTTCAAATTTGACATGGTAACGATTTTAGATAGAAGAGATGCCCATGCTGATGGTATTACATTTTATTTGATTCTTTAAATCGTAAATCGCCCCGATTACATATAAAGCACACGGTTAAATACTTAACCATTTGAAGGAACGAAGGAGAATGATAGATAAAGACAAATATCAAGGACAGAAAGATAAAAGCAATATATGTGATGAGAAGAAATGGCACCATAAGGCCAAATACCATGCACAGGCCACACTCGAACGGGTGCGTTACACTCCCGCGTGGAATTTGGACGCTCTCCGCATTTATCGTTACAGACATATTTCAATCGATATACGAGGCAGATATGTTGACGAATAATGTTCTTTCATTTGGCAGCAGTCTGCTAGTCAATATCGATTCATTTTCCATTTTTCATAACTTTATGTTGCTTGACTTTGATAAGTATATAGAAAAATAGTACATAAATTTCTTCAATTCTCTTTTTAGATAATAAATTGTGCCGTTCAAAATGACTGATACTACTTATGCTACTGGTCCTTCTTTGTCATTACACATCGAGCTGAGCAAACAAGATGAATTGTACGACTTACATACACATTTAATGGGGATGGGAAATGCTGATTTCTGGATAAACACGATATTACTGAATGAAACAATTCTACCTACCAATAAACACTTCGAAGATGATGTTATACGGAAGCGACTTGGGCCTTTGATTTGGGATAAAAACAGTAATGCATTTTATGGAAGAGAACACGTGGCTACGGTGGTCTATAACTTACGTGAAGATCCCAATGGACCTACGTATATTCCTGGTAGTGTGCACAAAGCTATTTTTGACGAATTACACATTCAAGAATTGGGTCGTGAGATGGATCATCTTGGTATATCATTCAAAGAAGACTTTTCGTACGATGTTGTACTAAAGAGAGAGGATTTGAAAAAAGCATTTTCGCTATCGAATTCTAATGCTGATGTAGTTCAAGTGATTCCAGAAGAAAGGTTAGGAGTATATGAACAGACGGAATCTTATAGATCACCGTTCAAACACTGGATTATATTTAATGCTCGCAAGCAGAAAATGGAGATTGTGTGCGGTATGACAGTCGAGGAACTTCGTAAACTGATCGACGACGAATCTGCCATGGAACACATTTATAACCCAGTTCAGCGTGATGCTCGTGCACATATCATCAATGCATTTTCAATGTGTAATGATGATGGGACTTTGCCACGATCGATCGATTACCATTCATTCCGTGGTCAATTCACACCTGAATTCTATCCACGTCATTTCGCATTGAAAGATTCTTTATACGAACAGAGACTCGATTTACTAGCATTACTATTACAACATGTTCTGCAACGTTATCAGACATGTTCACCACCTGTAACATATTGTGAATTTTCCGTCGGTGTTGGAGATTTATCAAAACCGTGGATTTTTGATATATTTAGTAGTTTCCCTTCGCAAAGCGACATTAGCAAGTCTGAGGAACGTTCACATCCTATCTGTAGCACATCTTTTGGAAAACTTATACAAGAATTTCCATGGTTGAAACCGAAGTTTGCCCATTGCGTGACATATCGATTTCTTGCGGGGTTTAATCGCCAATGTATTAATTTGACAGATGTTGACAAAAATGATGCAGCCAATAGTAATCCTGCCAATAATAATCTTGCCAATAATGATCTCGACGATAATGAAATTAAGCAGTATAAACAAGAAGAAGCCATACAATTGTTAGCTAAAGCACCACAAGAAGCCATTCATCGTATGTTAAGTGAAATTGTTAAAAGTAAGAAGCGTGAATCTAGCACACGCTTTGAATCTCTTGAAAAAGAATTGAAGAAGTTAGATGACATCGAGAAGAAATATGCCAATTTTTATCATTGGGTAGTTGGACTGGATTTATGTGGTGACGAATTAGGTTACCCATATTGTCCTTTCGTATCAACAAAATTCATCGAGCACGTAAATAAAGTCCGTAACGCTAATGATGGTAACCCCAATTATGGACTGCGCATCCACGGAGGTGAAAATGTTGCTGCTGTTAATTCTACTCTACCTGGTTATCATCTGTTTGTTTCATATATGTATATCGTTGTTTTGAGTATACAATATTTACAGCAAGAGCTAAAACATGGTATCCGTATCTGTCATGGCGTGGCATTTGATATCATTTTGAATTACAACGAAGAAAAGGAAAACCAGAGCCAACGTAAATCTTCTGTCTTAGTGGCAGAAATGAAACGGATATTGAAAAAGATTTTGAAAACAATTCCACTTGAAGTGAACATAACAAGTAATTATTATTTGTTAGGTCAATCAGTTCGTCGGGGAAATGGGAAGAAAACACATTCCTTAAAAACATTTTTTGACTTTGGAATACCGATCGTTCTCTCGACAGATAACGATGGAATATGGCCAATCTACCAATGTATTTTAAAGCATGTCGGGCATCATTCAGTAGCTGCTGAGTTTTGCCGGGCCATCTATTCAGGTATAATCATAAATGAAGGAAATTTAGGAAACGTGATTAAAAATTCAAAAACATATTGCTTTGATAAAGAGCTTGGTACATTACGCAAAACTGACATGAAAAAAAAAGAACCAGAAGAAGAATTTCAAATTCCAATGGTTGTTTTGCATCCGAAATTAATTTCTTATATAATGAAAACATTTTACAAAGTTGCCCCAGTAAACGGGAACAACCCATTTTACGAGTATTGTAAGGCGAGAAACGGAGAATCGACCGATGATAAATACGAGCTGTCCGACGAAAAATGCATCTCACTGGCCCCTGTTGCTCTGGCCATCACCTACCTAACTCATTCCGAATGGGCTCAACTAAATAGCTGTAAACTGGAGTACGATATAATGTTTGCAAATTCACAGAATAATCAGAGCAAAAACTTTGAAACTGTTAGAAAAGAATGCAAAAACATATATAACAAGTTCATGGAAGGAAATGTCATAAATTTAACAGCTGATCATGACATGACAATCACAGAAGATGGCAACTCATTTACAAGTGTAAAATTTATGTCCATACCACCGTCTAGTGAGATTTCAACACTCAAACAGATAGCTGAAAAAGTCACGCAGTCAGAGAGCAAAGTCTCAATTATATTCGGTTTTTGTAGCACATTAGATATAAAAGAAACTGTAAAATACCTTTAAAAAAAACTGGAATCAAACAACACAGGAGAAACAAATCAACGAGGGAGAAATGCACTCTCAACAAATTCAGGAACAATAGTAAGTAAGGTAACCGTTTATCTTCATTCAAATCTGAATAAGTATGATTACGCTGATGCCACTATCGACGACAAAATTACGCTCAAAATAAACTACCATCCTGATAAAAGAACCAATTGCGACGAAGAGACGGAAATGCACGCATTATACGTTATTGGTCCACATGGAAGTGCTGCAACAGCAGCCCTCCACCATATTCCTAAGCTCATGGATACCTGCACAAGTAATTCAAATGATCCACAGCAGCAGAGACCAGGATCCGTTGGATCATCCTCCGAAAATGATGGTAATAAACCTGGAGATGGTAATAATAAACCTAAAGATGACAATAATCAACGTAAAGATGACAATAATCAACGTAAAGATGACAATAATCAACGTAAAGATGATCATAATCTGGTTTTGATGCTAGCATCATCAGAGACAGCCTCAAGAACCACAAACACCAGTCACCCGAAATCTGATAAGTGTTCTGACCTGAAATCATACAAACGGCTGCATATTGTGCCTTCATTTGAACAGCTTATCATCCCATTTTTACGAATGACGGTGAACATTCCATTTTCGCCTAATTCTGATTTTTACGAACTCTACGGTATCGACAAATCGTCAAAACTTCATACAAAATTCGATTTTAAAGACGCATATACACTTTCTTATCATATCGATCAAGAGTATGAAATGCTATTTGATGATGCTATTCATTCACAAATGGACTGGTCAACATTATATAGAGATTTCGGGACGAATACATGGTCAAATGACTTAATAATTACCATATTCCAAATGGCGTCCGATTCGCTTGAAAAATATGATGTATACCCCACACGCATCGCTTTATTACGTACTACGTCAGAGCGTACGGATTTAATAAAGAAATTAAAAAAATCAACTTATAATATACTAGTACCAATCAAAGAATTCAATAACGAGACAGAATTATTAGTTTGTACTCAAATACAACGATTTCCTTGTAAACCATCAAACATAGAGTTTTGGAATAAAGACGAGTCCTCTTTCAAGCTAGCTTACGTATTATGGATAAATTTCACTCATGGTAAACCTTTCACAAGTCCATACTGTGAGCTGAATAACTCCATCGTTGTGTATCGTACCGATAAATTACTAGAGGTAGGAAAACAGTGCAAACAAGCATCAGCAGATGACGTTTGGGGTTATGTTATTTTCCTAACCGTCAGTGAAGCTGCGAAGGAAATATGGAATCCGATAACTGTCAATAAATGGTGCGATTTCTTGTATGATGCATTACCCAATAATGAAAGCATTGAGAAATTTTCGGCATTCCTATCAAAACATAATTTAGTGGAGACATTTAAATCGGTGCTGGAAAACACTAGTCCAGGAAAACTGCGCAACAATGAACAGTACGTTGTTATCAAAAAAAGGGAAGCCTATAAAATACAAACGATACTTTCAAAAGCATGTCAACCGAGTAAGTTGCTTTTTGAAAGATTTTTAATACATAGAGTTCTCAATTAATAGTAAATTTTCGAGATACCATTTCCTATAGAGCATCAACGATAACACGACATCTTAGAATTCTTGAGAGTGTGGGTGTAGGTGTCGGTGTGGGTATGAAGAAATAGAAGATCATACACCCACACCCACACCCACACCCACACCCACACCCTCACCCGGTCCAAGAACAATGAGATCAACGCAAAAACAACTATTGAAGAAATTAGCATTACTACTTGGATCACACAAAAAAAAGGAAATAATGCTTATTAACTTAGTTTTCCCATTTTTTCTGTTTATCTTTGAGATTATTAAAAAGTTGAATTTTCAACATTTTACTTTTCGACTTTTTCCTTTTTCTGTTTTCTTTCATTCGACGTTTATAATTTCTGTATTTTCCTGTTTTTTTTTCGACATTTTACTTTTCGGTATTTCCCCTTTCTGCCTTTTCCACCAAACCCGATAGAATTAAATTAAATTAACTGTAAATTGACACCCTCAATTACGTGTAAGAACTCAAATTATCTATTCAATAATTTACATTTTTCATTCAATATATGATTCCATGAATTTCTATAATGGTATCCATGTTTTCCCTTAACTCGTTGTTAACAGTACTTACGCTGTTCAATCATCAGTTTTTTAATTAAATAAATTGAACATAGTCAGTACAAAGATGCCAAAAAAAATATAGATTTCTGAGTATTTTACAGAAATTCACTAGAGTGAGTACCTTCACTATGTTTGGTGTACTTCATAAATGATCATTACGACGACATGAGAAGAAAAACAAGGGATGGGTTTTTCC